CTTTTCTTACTCTACTACTTCTTATTTGAGTCCCCTCTGTGAGATGAGGGGTGAGGAGAACACAGCATTCAGGATTTATGCAGTGCATTGGACCATGCCTTGGCTGTGGACTGGACCATTGGACCACACAATGGCAAAGCTGTGTTCTCTGGTTTATGTCTAATTTCCTTCCTGCCTGCTGACATCCAATTTGCTTTTCCTGCTGGGAAAAGAGTTGATATTCCCATGGTAGTACCTGTCTTAACCCAAATTTTATAGGCAAGTCAGGACTGGTTTTCCTTGATGCAACACTTCACAATCACCTACCCCAAATTTCACCTTCCCCTGTATTGCCCACTCTCTATAAAATCCTTCTGCAGTTCTGTATTTACAACACATAAATGCAAAGAAATTAATGTGCATAAAAATGAAGCTTGCAGGATTTGTTTTAGACATGATTTGACAGGAAGTGCAGTGGTGCCTGCAGGAGAGCAGGCATGGGAAGAATAATCACACACTTCTCTTGCAGTGCTGGTGGGGATCAGGCTGTTAAAAGTGAAACAACACCAAATCTGGTTAGTTTTGTTGATGGCAGGACAGCATTAAACCAGCTGCTGCTTTTTGATGCCACCATCCCTCCCACCCTGCCCCTTTTGAACAGGGTGTTGTGGCTTAGTGTTGTATCTTACAGGTCTAAATCAACAGAGGGGGTTAGGTTTTTTTTCAAATAAATGCAAAATTGAGAAGAAATAAGCTGTATAAGCCAGCAAGCACTATTAATAGGACCACAAAATGGATGAAGCAAGTTATCTCCAGCAAGCCATGGGTTTCCTTCCTGCCAGCTCTGCCAGCAGGAGAGGTGGAGAACAGTAATGGGAACCCTTCCTCCATTCCATTGGCTGTGGCCTGCTGTGGACATTAATTCCCTCTCAAAGATTTTAATAGTAAAGATGCACAGCAATACCCTGCTGTGGGGAAATCCTCCTGCACCACACAGATGGATCCAGAAAATCCCTGAGGGGTCTCACCAGGATTTCCTACCCAGGGTCTTTGGGGAAGGAGGTCATTGTGCAGCAAAGGAGACAGACATGGCAGGACTCTGGATTGGTGGCAACAGGAGACATCAGCTGTGGGAATTGCACCAAGGCTATGAGACCCTGGAAGGGAGCTGAACTCAGAGGACAACAATCAAACAGTGCCTTCAACCCAACAGAAATCTGATTGTGAGAATTGGAAATGAGATAATGAGACCAGATCACCTACTTGAACAGCTCAGACAAAAAAAAAATATGTTGGAGCCAAGCAGAAAATTTACCTTTTCTTAAGTCTACATAGAGTTAGAAAAACATAAGGTTCTTTTTTAATTCTAGTTTGAATTTGTGATATTTAGATTAAAGAGGCAGAAAACCAGCCTGTCCACTGCTAACTGCAGCTGGGGCACTGGCAGAGTACACTGTCACCAGTCCCCAAAAGATACCACCACAAATTGCTGATTACTGAATGCCAGAACAAACGAGCTCTGCAGCATCAAGAGAGGAAGTTTCCCACAAGGAAAACTGACAACACATCCAGGTCTCCTATCAAACTTTCATCTGAGGTACCAACAAGCCTGGAGATTATGGAGATTTTCCACCTTATGGTCAGTTAAAGAGCTACACCAAGGAGAGGTGAGAGCACAGGAGGGTTTGTGGTTTGCATTCTGGATTTTAAGGTAAGTGACGTGCACACAGAGTACCCAGAGGAGTGGGCAGTATTGGCCACCAAATTGGAAACACGTGGCTACAGTGGAAAAATAGTGTGAGTTCCTGGTTGCTGGCTGTTGCCCTTGACATTCTGCAAACCCCTTTGAGTGCTGCAGCTTTGCAAAGAAAAGGGGGGCAGCAAGGGGCTCACAAACCACAGCTTCACACCGGAAAAGCTGCATGCTACAGCCTCAACATGGTATTTTTTCCCTCTGTTCGAAAAACAATGCTTGCAATTTGCAACTAAATTTTGAGATCTTAATTTAAACTTTCCATTCTCGGTTATGAAAATGGAATGGAAAATTTTAATGCAGTCCTTCAAGGGTTAGGAACAGGAAGAGTCAGCGGTGCTGGGGCAAAGACAGTCTAGTGTCACCCCTCAGCTGGCATCACTGACCTCTCACAGGGATCCAACAGCACCTGCTCATCCTCGGGAATGTGGCATCACTGCCTGGCAATGGAATGTCCTTCTGGAGCACTAGGAGACACCATGGGCAGCAGAACAATGGACCTGTCAGGGCAGTCATTTTGGTGCTCCTTTAGTGTTCCCCGACCACAGCAGCACAACTCCCATGTCCCCAGAGGAACTTCAGTACTGTGACACATCCAGGCAATGTCTGCTGTGGCTGACACTGAGAAACTGAAGAGCTTCTTTCTCCATGAAAAAGCCCCTGAGAGCTTTCCACAAAATGACTGAGAAATCAAACACACCCAAGACTCACCATGTTCTGGTGCCTCAGCTCCCTTTCGTTTCCCATACCTTCTCTGTCAAACAGATGTAAGAAAGCAGAGAAAATGAATCCTAAATTCACCTCCTGCTAAGCCCTGATCAAAAACAAGTGAATCCTTGTTACTCTTCTCATCCCTGCGTGATTTTGTCTCTTGTCTCCTTGCTCCTGTCTTCTACTAATTATTTGACATTAATTAAATAGAGATCTAGGCTGGCCCTAGTATATAAATCTAAATTTCTGTCATAAGCAACTTAGGTTGGAGTTCAACAGCAATCAGAGTCCTGTAACCTTAGCTGTGAGTAAAATAAAACTTATATGTAGGCTTGGGAGAAAAAAGAAATTACTTCTACTTTCTAATCAACCTCTCTGGTCTCCTGACTTCTCTTACATGATGCCCTGCAGAAGTAACTGGTTGTCTGAGCATTTTTTCTTCTTCCTTCGTCATATCATACCAGTGACACTACAATAGAAATTACTAACTAAATTACTAATAAAACATGTTATTACTGCTAGTGTTCATTGATTTGGCTTAGGTTCTCAGTCAAACAGTTACAGCCTATTCTAAAATCCTCTATGGAGGACAAACAGGCAAACCAGAACTTATGAAAATCAAAGAGATTCCTTAATTAATCTGATATCCCATCTTCTTCCCCCAGTTTTAGAGTTGGTCATCACTATTAAACTTACATTAACCAATCTAAATTATTTATACAAGTGTCTATTTTAAATCAGAGCTTTTTCCTAGAGGTCCTGCTTGTGTTCTGGAGCTTTTCCTAATCAAATGATTGTCACTGCAACTTTATTTTTTCTTATTTGTCACCATGCAAAATAGAAATAGTTTTTTACTACACGACACCTTATCACAGAAGTCAGTATAAAAGCAATGTGTGCCAGCCCTCCTGCAGCCATATCTCCCAATGACAATAAGCTTTTGCCTTGCTTTTATAGGATATATTCATTAGCAGGGGAAAAGGTGGACTTGCCTGGAAATCAGCTCAGTCTGTGAGCAAAGAGGACCGAGATCGAAGGCACCTCTACACAGAGGAGAGGAATATTTGGGCACCAGTTTGGTACCCTGGGCTGATTCATATAAAATTTACTATTTGTCAGAGACAAGAAAGAAATTAGATATCCCTGTTAAGAAAGGCAGAAGCCCTTCCTGGATGATCCTTGACTTGTACAGGTTCTCCCAGCACATCCACCACCACATCTCTGAGGACATGCACTGCGTGCTCACTTTACAGCAGAATGAGAACCTAGAATTGATGAATTTTTTCTCCCATCCTCATTGGCCAGCACATTCATTTTCATTTTATTTTTATTTGCTTTATTTAAGGTAGACATCACAAGCCTCCCAGCCTAACAAAAGCATCAATTTCACATATTTCAGCAGGCCTAACATGAGCTTTCTTCACTTACCAACATGCATTGAAGCCCAGAGAAATAAACCCAGTTCCTAAACTGTTTTCAGTAATTCAGCTCTGAGCCCCAACAGAAATGGCATCAAACCCAGCAGCACCTACTTTCTGACAGATCCAGGGAAAAGGGGTTTCTTAGCAGAGGGGTAATGGAAAAGAAAAAAAAAAAAACAAAAAAAACCAACATATAGAAAAAAAAAATCAACAGGAAAGCCAGGAAGAAAAAAGGAAATCAGACACCAACCCAGCCCCTTGCAGGCTGGTGAAATTGTTGTTACTGTGTGTTTTTAAAGCTCAAGGAAGCATCACCCATTCCATCCTGCCAGTGGTCACCTGGAGACAGCAGCAAGGACCATTGAGGTACACAAGGGGTTTTTTTTTTTTGCAGAGAGGAAACATTTGTGGTGAGAGAAGAGAGCCAGGAGTTGGTAAAACAAACAAAAAGCAAAGCACATGCTGGACATTGGGCACTCACATGAAGTTTCTGCTCACAGACCACCTGCCCTGTACGAAGAGATTTGCAATTGCAAAGAAGAATTAAACAAAGAAGAATTAAACAAAGAAGAATTGCAAAGAGAACAATCAAGCACCTGAAGAACCCAGCTGGGTGCCAGCAGCACGTGTGCTTGGAGATAAATGATCTGTAAGCTGTGCCATGAAACACCTGTGTCTCACTTGCTGGGGAACAAAACAGTGTGGGCTCTGCCATCCACGTGAGACCCCTCGAGTGTGCTAGGGAGAGGGAGGCAGAATCCCTGCCAAGAAAAGCAAAGTACAGCCAGCATGAAAAGCATGGGACTCATCCATAACTTCTGCAGAGCTGGAGCTGCTGTGGGTCCCCAGAGGGCAGGGGACAGCAGGCTGTGGTGGCTGATCCTACCTCAGCCATGAGCAGCACCACTGGATCTCCAGGGAAGTCATCCAGGAAAAAGCCTTGAGGCACCGTTAAGAACTGGTAAGGATATATAAACTCTGGAACTCTGGACAAGAGACTCATTTCTTCAGGAATCTTTTTTTCCTCCTTACACCTCGGATGCCAAGCATCACCTCCTTACCCAAGAGGGTCCTGATGACATCACATCCTCCCCAAAGAGTGACACAGCCTCCCAAGCCAAGTGACAACCATCTTCTCAGCTGTGCTGCACCAGCCCCAAGCACAGACACCAAGCCAGGCGAAGATGGACACGTCTCCTGCCCTGCTCCTGCTGCTCACTCTGGGATTCTGTGAGTACGGACACGGGGTTGTGCAGCCCCTTCACTGGGAGGGACAAGGAAAACCCTTCCACTGCATCCAAGACATTGTGTTAAATAACTAAGGGGGTAAAAAGTGAACCAAAAAGGCTGAATTTGAGGTGTGCTCAGTAAATTTGGAAGGATAGGTGGTATCACCTCAGCCAGCAAAGGGCAACAGGAGGAGTGGCTGCAGCACCACCTGCACTGGGAAGGGAGATTGATCCAATGAGTGGTTCCAGAGGGGAGGGAGAAGAGTAGAAAAAAAGAGGCTTTGCAAAAAGTGCAAATGTAGTCACTTCAGAGAAGCTGGGAAGGTATAATGTCCTTGAGAAGGTGCTGGAAGGGCAGCACCCATCATTCAAGCATAGCTGGCTGATTGCTGAGCACCGTCCATGCACCATCCCAGCAAGGACTCCAAGAAAACCTTCACAGCATCCAGACAGTGAGGTCTTCCCTTTCCATTTCTACTTCCAGCCCAGTGATAGAGAGGGAGGTTTCCTCAGGGAAGCCTTTGACTCTACCCAAGTGGTTCCAGCAAGGATTTCTCTCCTGCAGGCTGCCCTGGGATTTATGGCCAGTCACTTCAGATAAAGGTCAGGTCTCCCAAGGACATCACCCAGCTCTGGGTGGGACAGAAGCTGGAACTGGAGTGTCACACTGACAAGAACCATGGGGCATCCTGGATCCGCCAGGACAGGAGTGGGACCCTTCACTTCATTGTCTTCATCAACCCCATGGCTCGGGCCACATTTGAGGGGAGTCAGAGGACATCACATCGCTTTGAGGCGAGCAAAGACAACACAATCTATCGGTTGGCAGTGAAATCTTTCACACCACAGGACGAGGGGAGCTATTTCTGTGTGATGAATTTTAACCAAATGCTGCACTTCAGCCCTGGCCTGCATGCCTTCCTTCCAGGTCAGCAACACCTTCACCCAGCCCCACTCAGCCCTTCCAAAATGCCCAGCACCTCCTGCCCTTGTGCCCTTTTTAACCAGCCATCCCTCCCACAAACCCCATTTCCCTGCTTGCTTGCCCAAGGCATCCTGGGGCCAACCCACTGCTCCTCCCTGCTTCCCACCTCTCCTCCTGGCACTGCTCCTGCCCAAAGGCAAACATGGTTAGGCATCATCTCCCCATCCCCACTTCCCCACCCATGGCTCTGAAGGGAGAGGATTAAAGCAAAGTCCACCACCACCCCCTCCTTCCGCAGCACACACAGCTCCCAAAAGTACCACCAAGATCAGGGGGCTCAGGCTTTGTGAGGATGGTGTCAGAAAGTGAGAAACAAGCAGGCTGCAGCTCCCTCTTGGCTGTTAGGAGACCCTCTTTAGGGAGTCCCCCTCCAAAACTGGCTCCTGGAAATTCTCCTGGAGCTGAACTCAGGAGCACCTGTGCCCTGGCAGGGGTAAGAGAGCAGAAAGGCAGGAGAGATCTGTTTTATTGTATTTCCCTACATGCTCAATTCATCCATTTCACCTGTAGTCATCACCACAGTGGCACCCAGCACAACAGGACCCACCACCCAGCATGGCATCACTAAGTACCCCGACCTCACGACTCCAGATCCAGGTAACCTGAATGGAGGGAGGGAGAGGGGAAGGGCTGGACCCTGGTCGACTGATACCGAGGGGGATCCTGCAGATATTTTGGGATTGGGAGGGAGAGAGAAGATCCACAGATCTTCTTTAACTTTAAGGATTAAATTCCAATATTTCATTCAACCCAAGAAAGGTTAAATATGACATAAAAAGCACGAGCATGCCTGGGCACACCAGCAATATAGGGAGGGAGGGGAGAGACTTTGGGGCTGGAGCTGCTTTTAGCCTCAGCAGAAAACATGAGAAAACTTTTGCCCACCTATCCTCCCTCGAGTCCCCAGGAAAATGCTGACACCAGAACTGTCTTGAGCACTTGGTGGACATTCCATCTTCTCTCTTCCTGCAGAGGGAAGAATGCAGGAAAATCTGAATTTCTTCTGCCACATCTTCATCTGGGTGCCCTTGGCAGGTGCCCTCCTCCTGCTCCTCATCGCCCTGGTGATCACCATCGTGCTGTGTCAACGTAAGGCTCCCCACAACCCTCTCTAGACCCATCTCTGGCCTGAGCCCACAGCCCTGCCCTCAGGGAGATGGATCTTCTGGCAGTTTTGGGAGGCAGATGATAATCAGAATACAGCCAATGCAAGACAAGGAGCACTGTTAAAACCAGTGTCTGTATTTTAATCCTCATCAGCAGGATTAGGGTGATAAAGAATTATCAACTTAGAGCCACAGAGCAAAATTATTTATGTTGGAAAAAAATTTCAAGGAAGAAAAATAGGTTAGAAAGAGACAGTACTTACTCTACTGTCTTGGCTCATAAATGGGTGTGTCAGAGGTTAAAATGCCAGGGCCTGAAACATTCTGACCTAACAGAGCAAATATGCTCCAGCAAATGCTGGGAGTAGCATCTCAAGCTCAAACCAGATGAGAAACTTCATTACATTATGATCAGTGAAAAGCTCTCAGCTGCAGTTAATTTATGCAGCAATTTCGAAGTCCTTCAGGATAGATTTTTACCTTAGTCTAAAATTAATGGATCGGCATTTTATTTGGCTGAATCTACCCCAAAGTAACAACACAGAGGCTAAAATGGGTGCATGTGACGTGGCATCACTGCCACTCACCTGCTGCAGAAATTATTGCTGCTGAGGGATTTTCAGCAATGTGCCAAAGTCACTGGAGACAGCAAACAGAAATAATTTACACTCAGTATTCCCAGGCTCTCCCTGCTGCTGCTACACACCTCAAAGATTAATTAATTAAAATATTTAAGTGGATTATTGGGGTAACATGAGCTGCAGCACCACTCCCTGGCATGGATTTCGTCAAAAATAGGTTTGGTTTATCTGTTATTAAAGATATCAGCTGCAGGGGAGCACCAGCCCTACCTCACTGGAGTGTTTATTGCCTGAGCTGTCACTTGGCACCTTTGAACTAAAACATTTTCTCTCTTGTCTTAGAAACCAGAAGACGAAGATGCAGGTGTAAGAGGTGAGTGACAGGCATTGGCACTTTCCTCTTCAACTTGGCAATATCTCACCCTCAAGAGATAAAGGAGGCAGGTGCCAAAAAGCAACCTAAAAATTCTTCATCTGATAGAAGATAGTTGGGAAGAGCCTGAACAATGACTTAAGGGCAAAAACAGAACAGAAGGTTCTCCTGTTCTCTATTTTTGGTTTTGTTTGGGGTTTTTTTTTTCTGTTTGGGCTTTTTGTTTGGTTTTACAACTATTAAGCCGTTCAAATCATTGAGCTCTGACCCAGCAGCTGATACAAAACAGAAGGACAGGAGGTGTTTGTGGCAGCCCAAAAACTTTGTGCATCACCCAGTGCTCATAACCAACCACATTTCTGTGCTTCCAATGCCCATTCCCTACTTGAGCTTGGGGGTGACCATACTTCATCCCTTCCCCTCCCCAAACCATTAATTTGATTTCGTTACTGCCTGTTTAGATGTCCCATGGTTTACATGTAAGTTCCTGCACCCCAAATCTCCCTCTGCACCATGTTTGACAGCAGCACCAGGATTCCTGCCTCTGTTTCCCCACCAGGCACTGAGGAACAGCAGCAGAGAGGCTGCTGCAGCCTCACAGGGCTCTCCTGAGAAACACCAGTGCAGATAGGAGTAGACTGAGGGCTAACCCAGTTTCTAGGGCATACAGGAACCTTTTCCTTATGCTTTCCCTCCTACCTCCCCAGCTCACCCTGGGTGACCAGGAAAACACAATCAGAATGAGAATTGCAATTTCCTGGTTTGGGAGAGGAAATACTTTTTGCCCACACACATTTTGCTTCTGCAAATGGACCTCCCTGCAGCTGGTTTGCTCACTCCTCCTGCTCTGAAGGAAACCACTTCTGCAAGCCTTGTGCACCCTGGGGCTTGTGGCAAGAAAAACACCAAGAAATCCCCAGTACTGCTCAAGGGCAGCCAGGGCTGGGCTAGTGCTTGGAACAGCTGGGTTGCCAAGAAACTTTGGAACAGCATGTTCACACCTCTGGAGCCTCATTCTTTGCCAATCAAAGCATATTTTAAATCAGATAAATTCCTGTTCCTTGTTATACATTAATGGGGTTTTTTTGGTACAAGGGGTAATTACCATTTTGTTCTCCAAATTAATACAGTCCCTCCCCAACATTAGTAGGAAATGGATCCCTACAATTTTATTTTTCTTTTGAAGGCAGGTTGCATTTTTTTAAAACTGTCTATAAAATGGAACAGACTGTCATTTTCACAGGGGATATTTAGGGGATATTCACAGGAAAGCACACCCAGTGCTTTCCTGATCCTCGTCTGCCTTTCCAGGGGAGAAATGATAAGGAAAAGCTCTTCAAGCAGCCTTGTTTAGCAGAATGTTTGCATTTTTCCCTTATCCCTGTTGCCAGCTCTGTGCAAGGATGTTCTGTCTCTGTGGGAAGAAAAACACCCTGCAGAGCTCTCCCACTTTGCCCTGATGCAGTGGGACCTCAGGAAATCATCTCCCCCAGGATGGCTCTCATTCAGCAGCCCAAAACTTGACAGAGCTCTGGTTTTAGCTATTGTACCATATCTCAGTTTTGATTTAGAGAGGAAATTCCTGCTGCTCTGAGCAGCTCCTGCTCAGTGAAAGGAAGCTCTGTGGAAGTTAACAGTGCAATTCACTCCCTTACAAAGCACCCCAGGATCTGGCCTGCCATCCTTGCTGGCAGCAGAAGGATTCATTTTCCACCACCAATTAATCTTCCCTGAAAAAGGGTGCCAAATCCCCAACTCATTAGATCAGCATAAAACTCTCAGTTGATGGAGAGCAGTCATTTTTCTCATTTTGGGTGCACGTTGGCTATCTGGAAAGTCTCCTTTCAAACGTCTCTGCAGGCAACATGTTCCAACAAGAAAAAATCTCTCTGAAATTATAACACCCTGTCTAACTCAAAAAAAAAACCCCACAAATCCTTAGCTCTTCCTTCTTCATTCTTTTGTGAATGTAGAGAAAGGCATAATGAGAGGATGGGAGTGTGCAGAAGTAAAAAAAAAAAACAAAAAAAAAAAAAAAAAAAACCCAAACAAAAAAACCCAATTTATTTTTTAATTAATATAATAATTGACCATCAATGTATCTTGAGAATATCCTTCTGTTACCTGTCACTGCTTGAAATGGAGGCAGACCTTTCACTTGCACAAAGAGCATTTAGAAACACTTTGCAGCCTCCTCTTGGAGGTCCCTGGCTGCAGCCCAAGGCTAAAGGAGCCTTAATTGCCTTCTTGCTCCTCTCCCATCTGAGTAAACCAAACCCTCTTCTCTCTCCAGACCTGCAAATGGGAAGCCCCCCAAGAAACCCAGGACTCCAAACTAACAAAGATCAGCATCTGCTCCTCGTGGCTTCTGGATCTTCTCCTGGGAGCTGTCAGCACAGAAATCCATCATCTCCTGCATTATCCACAAGGCCACTGCACCTCAGCCACTCTGCCCTGACAGGTTTGAGGAGAGGAGAGGGAGCACAGACACACGGACAGGGAGCAGAAGCTCCCTGCGAGCTGCAGGGTAAAGCACAGCTCCTTCCAAACCCTGAGCTCCTCTCAAAGGTCACCTCTGCTCCAGGACAGGGCTCAGGCACTAGAGCCAGGCCAATTCTCATGCTGACACACCTCAGTGAGAAGCTGGTGAGAAAAGAGGGCATGAGCTGGACCTTTGCTCAAGGTCTGAGATTTCCTCCCAAAATGCAGCCAGAGGTGGAATTTGCTACACAAAACCTTAAAAATAATTATCCTCACTCAACACGTCTTCTTGCTGTGGTGCCTCTCTCCTAGGGTTTTTATTGTTTCATGTAATGGAATACAAGATTGCATTGAGAAGCTAAATATGGATTAATTGCCTTACTTTTGAGGTTTTTACAGTCCTGGGGGCTAAGGTTCACCACTCCCCTCACACTATCCTTATTCTGCTGCTACCCCTGATCCACCTATTTCTGCAGGAGTTTGGCCTAAGTAAGGAAAGTGGGATTTGCTTTTTTTCTGAGGGAAATGCCTGAGTTATTAAAAAAAATTGGTTTTGTTAAGCAGGATGTTTAACATGTTGATATTTTGGGGACATGTTATGGACTACTGTAAGTTCTGTTTTTTCAGATCTGTATTTCATGTAAATATTTCCTTAGTATAATTGCAATTTAAGAACTGAGATATAAAATAAAATTATTCTAGTCAGATTCATGACCATTATTTCTTTCTTTCTTCAGTTCCTAGTCTCAGAAAAGCTAAAATCCTTCAGGAAGATAATAAACAAGGCATTGAAAAAGTCTTGGCTAAAGGAAAAGCCAGTGATTAATACATAATCCTGAGCATTAGGGTGCAGACTTCAGCTTCCAGCTTACCACAGCCTAAAATCACCTAAAGGTATCTTCCCAGGGATTTGCTGATGGGCCCAGTAACACTCCCACATCCCAGGAAACTGCCAAGAAGGTGCCTGAGATAAAGAGTCTGCGGGTACTCTGGAATCTTGTCACAGGGCTGATAAAAACCTGGCAAAAAAGAGTGGAAGAAACCCTTTGATAGTCTCCTGCTCTGTAAACAAGATAGGAAGGAGAGAAAAGAAAAGAAAAATAAAGGTCTTCCAAACTTACATGTTTGTAAGAATTAATAAAAAAAAAAAATTCAGGACTAGATAATCGTATCTAAACAATAGCGAGCAAATACTGAATGGCAACTCCACAGAACTACACACACTATGAAGATAAAAATAACAGAAAAGCCCCAACATTGAGGCTGTGAGATCAATTTAATTACTGGCTGCTTTCTTATCGAATTAGTGTGAGCTAAAAAATTTCACTTAAAAAGCTATAACCCAAAGTGTTTCTGCCAAAAAGCTCTAGGTCTTTCCTCATTTTCTCATACCCACTTTTTCACATTACACATCACACCACGTTCCTGCAGCCCAGGCAGAAGGGCAGTGAGCTCCTGCTCTGGTACTGACCCCCACCACCCACATCCTCTTCCAACAGATGAAGAAACAGAAGCAGGATCTGTTTGCTCTGGGAATTGTTATTTGTTTCAGAGGGGTTGTTTGTAATTTCAGAACACACCTGATCACTTCTAAGCCCAGTGCCAAACTCGGGAGGCTCTGGGATGGCTCCTGCCTCCCTCAGCACATCTGCACACTGATCCTCCAACCCACACTGCAGGGCACAGCTCACACAGCACCAGTGACCCTCACACATGCCAGCAGCAGCCTTCCCCACTCACCAACACACTCTGATGCCCAATGATATATAAACACAATTTATATCTGTGTTATAAACCACTCTCCATAACTCAGCTGTCAGTAGCAGCACCTGTGTTCTGACAGAGCCAGGAATCAAGAGGCTTCTTGGCAAAGGGTTAGTAAAAAAAAAAAAGAACTTAAACAAAAAACCTTGCAGAGAAAGATAATCAACAGGAAAGCCTGTGTGTGCAAAGCTCCAGGAAATATCAGCCATTGCCCTGTGCCAGTGGTGGCCCAGAGGCAGCAGCAAGAGCCACTTGAGCACACAGTGGGCTTGGGGCAGAATGGAAGGAACCCGTGGTGAGACAAAAGAACAACAAGCAGATAAAACAAAGAAGAAGCAAATCACAAATTGAGGACTATAAACTAATTTCTTCAGAAATTCTTTTTTTCCTCAATGTTTTGTCACACAGGCCAAGCATTGTCGCTTTACCCAAGAGGGTCCTAATGACATCAAATCCCCCCAAAGAGCAGCACAGCTTCCCAAGCCAAATGACAAAGATCATCTCAGCTGTGCTGCACTGTCCCCAAGGACAGACACTCCAGGAGAAGATGGCTGGGTCATCTCATGCTCTGAGTAGCAGCCCCAACAGCAACTGCACCAAAGTCAGCAGCACCTGGCTTCTGACAGACAAGGAAAAACAGAGCTTCTTTGCAATGGTGTAATTAAAAAAAAAAAAAAAAAAAAAAAAAAAAAAAAACTCACACAGAAAAGCAATTAACAGGAAAGTCCAGAAAAAATAAATCAATCAAACACCAGCCCAGCCCCTTGCACTCTGGTGAAATGATTCTTTCTATGCATGCAAAGGGCCAGGAACCATCACCTATCCCCATGTGCAAGTGGTCAGCTGGAGGCAGCAGCAAGAGCCCTCCCTGATGAACCCTAAAAGGGTTTTTTTGAAGAGCATAAGACCCTGTGGTTAAAGAAGAGAACCACGAGTTTTAAAAACAAAGAAAAACAAAGGGCAACACTCCCTTGTGCCCCTTGCACAAGGGAGTGTTGCAAAACACTCCCTTGTGCAAGGGGCAGTCCCAACAGGTTCCAGTTCCTAAACCAACTACATTTCATGAAAACTACCTTTCACTTCCCCACCCCACCCATGGCTCTGAAGGGAGAGGACTAAAACACAGTCCACCACCACCCCCTCCTTCCTCAGCGCATGCTGCTCCCAAAAGTACTACCAAGCTCAGGGGGCTCAGGCTTTGTGAGGATGGTGTCAGAAAGTGAGAAACAAGCAGGCTGCAGCTCCCTCTTGGCTGTTAGGAGACCCTCCTTGGGGAGACCCCATCCACGCTTGGCTCCATTAAGCTGCCCCAGAGCTGAGGACTTCACTGTGCACAGGAACAGCCGTGCCCAGGCAGGAGAGCAGAAAGGCAGGAGAGATCTGTTTTATTGTATTTCCCTACATGCTCAATTCATCCATTTCACTTATAGCCACCACCATAGTGGCATCCAGCACACCAGGACCCACCACCCAGCATGGCATCACTGAAAAGGACTCCTGCTTGAAGACACCAGATCCAGGTAGCCTGGATGCAGGGAGGGAGAGGGGAGGAGCTGGACCCTTGTCCACTGACACCAAGACAGATCCTACAGATATTTTGGGATGGGGAGAGAGTGAAAATCCATTCAGCTTTAGCAGAGTTGGAAGGATTAAATTCCATCATTTCATCCCCCATAGGAAAGGCTAAGGATGTAAAAAGCACAAGCATATCCCGTGCCTAAGGACACCAGGAACAGGCGAGGGAGGGTAGAGCCTCAGGGCCCAGGTCTGCTTTTAGTGTCAGCAAAGGACACAGGAAAACTTTTGGCCACGTATCCCCCTCCAGTTCCCAGGAAAATGCTGACAGCAGCAGACCATCACTGCAGGCCCAGGGGAAGCTCTGTGCCTTGGGCACACCGGGCAGGGCCCAGGGGAAGCTCTGTGAAAAGGGCACACCGGGCAGGGCCCAGGGGAAGCTCTGTGCATGGGGCACACCGGGCAGGGCTCAGGGGAAGCTCTGTGCATGGGGCACACCGGGCAGGGCCCAGGAGAAGCTCTGTGCATGGGGCACACTGGGCAGGGCCCAGGGGAAGGAAGCTCTGTGCATGGGCACACCGGGCAGGGCTCTGGACAGCTCGCTTGGCTCCTCCAGAGCTGGCTGTGACACCAGCAGTGAGCGCCTGTGGACCTTCCCTCTTCTCTATTCCTGCAGACAGCAGAATGCAGAAAGACCTGGATTCCTTCTGTCCTGTCTTCCTCGGGCTCCCCTTGGCAGGCCTCTGTCTCCTGCTCCTCCAGCTCCTGGCCACCACCATCGTGGTGCATCAACTTAAGGTTGCATCTACCCCCTCTGGGTGCACCTCAGGCCTGAAACCACAGCCCTGTCCCTGAGAATGTGCTGGCTGCTTTAGGAGGCATGGGACAACCAGGATACAGTGCAGGAGAAGGATCTCTGTTATAGTCACTACCTGGATATCTTCCAGTAAATCACTGACACTTCCTGAGTGCCCTTCCCCTCCCACTCCAGCTCTTTCCAATGATTTTGTATGAAGGAGGTGCAGTGATCTGACTGCAGCATCAGGGGTTCTTTCCCAACAAAAGGCCATGTGTTTTACATGGCAAGCATTGCCTTGAAAATATTTTCTCTATTCAGTGTCATTGAATGTGACATGTGACACACACCAAAATGAAATGTATGAACATTGAACAGAAAGCTGTTCAGAAAATTGAACAAAAGCATTCTTCTGTATTGCAATCCCTGTAAACTTTGTTAGTCTTCCAAATTAAATTGCTATGTCCTGACCCAGAGACTAATTATTTATTGCCTGTTTTACTGCTTGGGAGCCTACAGAGGCCAGTCCTGTGGGGAGAAACAGGACATGGGTATTAAAATTCAAAAAAGCATCTCAATAAAATAAACACATGTACAACAAAGTCCTTGCTACTGCATGGAATGCTAACACAGGATAAACAGAAAAATAAATCCCCAAGCAATAAAGGATATATTTGAGCATTAATATCTGACATTACTAATAATGATGGTCCACTGTGCAGTGCTGCACTAAGACCCCAGTCCTAAGCAATATTGATCCAGGCAAGCTTGATGCAGTGAAGAACTGGAGTAGGAAATCTTTGGGTGTGGGTATTTTTAGTCATTTTGTCAGGTTTGCTTGTTGGTGCTTTTTCTGCAGTCTTTCATTTGCACAGGAAATCAATCTCTAAAAAACAATTACAATGCTGACAGTGGTAATTAACCCCCTGAACACAGCTCCAAATCCACTGCACAGTGAAATCTTCCCATTTTTGATCTCCAGTAGCGCTGTAACAGATATCATGAGTTAGTATAAGCCTGTAAGCGAGGGGAGTTGAAAAGCAAATCCAGCTCTTCACACGTGGATTTTCAGTGAGGTCCTACATGTTTGTGGACTGCTGTCCATCCCAAGATACCTAGGGGGTAAAACGTGTCCTTCTGTCTCTTCTTACACAAGGTTTTCTATCACTGAGCTCCTTAAATTTTAGTGTTTTACAAATACACCCAATACACTGCACTGATCTTCTCTGATTCCACCTTGGCTGCAAAAGCAGCACAATCCTCTCTGCAGCAGTTAAGAAGGCTGAGAGGAGCAGAATGGCTTGGGGTGAGCACCAAAACAAACCCTTTTGTAGTCACTGTCCCAAAATTCTCAATGAATATCCCAA